ATTTATCAAAACTTTTATGTGGCTATACCCGACCTGGGGTAATGGTAATGTGTAATGGAAATACATTGTAATCATTATATTTTTTTTCAAACTAATCGAATGTTATGAGTAATGGACCCATTTTTCAATTACAAGTACATGTAATTGTAATGTAGTGCATTACTTTCAAAAAATGTCGGTAGTGACCATTACTTTTCAATCGCATTTCAATTACATTTTGTATTTTTGTCTCCTTTTTTTATTGAATCTAAAACAAATCAAGGTCAATGAAAGGTTATTTTTATTTAAATTGATAATATTACATTCTTGAAATTAAAATCTTATCTTAGCCATTTCTTTTTTTTTAAATGATATTCAATGGTGATTGACATACATATTAAATTTTAATAGAAAACTTCTTGACAGTTATAAAATCAATTGAAAAGAGCCAGAAAAAAGTAACCAAAACAATCATTAGGTTCAAAGATAGCCTCAAAACATACCGTGACTACCAAGCTGTGACCATTTTCAGTGACATACATATATGATTTATATTTTTCAACTTGATTGTTCTTTTCCATCGTCAACTTTCCTTTTTTTATGAAGTAATATCCCGCTATCACCTGCATATGGAGTTAACATCTTCCAACTCATTCGATACTCAAGAGCATGCTCCAAGTACGACCAATCTTTAACCGAGGCATGCTACTGACAGATAAGTTGATGCTACAGGGATTTCAACAAAGTCAGCATTTCGTAAATTCTATGGTCGTTATAATGACCTTGTTAGCAAATATAACCTATCATAGGGTCGTATTTTGACTGACGTGATTCATACCAATTGTTAGGCCTTTGTTTTTATACTGAATTTGACTACGGAATATTCCGTGTACCTGATCAATACAAAGGGCTCACGGCAGGTGTGACCGGTCAACAAGGGATGCTCACTCCTCCTAGACACATGTTCCGACCTCTGGAATTTCTAGGGATCCGTGTTGTATGCCCTCTTCACAGATTTGTATTGTTGATAGATTTTTTGAGATCGATTACTGTTCGTTATCTTACCCTTTTTCATTCTGGTGAAATATACTTGGTAAGCAAGATACTACATCAATATGATCTACTTGTAGATCACAAAGGGAAACTGTATAGCCAAATAGTATCCTTCGTAACTATAGATGTACGTACCGGTAATTAAGACGTAATTTTGTTGAATTATATCTTCACTGATTATGTCAGCTAATTACAAGTGCTCATTTTTCTAATTATCAGAGCATAACTGTTTAACAATTATAGCATTATCAGTTAATCGTAAAACAAATATATATAGTATGAAATGTTAATTATCTACTTGTATAAAAAGCGAGGACCTAACACAAAACTACAATATTGAAAGTGTTCTGACCCACTCCCTTTGTCAACTGTGGATAGTTAAACTGCATAAACTTCGTCTAAAAAATGGATCCAATATACCAAATATCACATCTGACTAAAAGTTAATTTACAAAATAAAGTGCGAACATCATTTTCTTTTTATTTTCGTATAAAACGTAATGTGTAATGTGATTCATTTCTTTAATAAAGTAATTGTAATTTAAATAATTTCTTTTTTGAATGAGAGTAATGATAATAGTAAAAAAGTCAAAGTACTTGTAATTTAATGCATTACATTTCAAAGTAATTGACCCAAGGTCTGGGCTTCACTGTGTTACCATGGTAACTATGAAAGTTACTATACGTGTATATAAATTGACGAATTTAAAATTTAGCGCAATCACTGGGTATGGAGTTGTTATCGTAATCATGAATTAGCGCTTCATACGTCCGCACAGGGAATTGTATTTATTAATTAATAATTTTAGAATAATATTGCTATAACCTTTTAACATAAGGTCAAATATTTTTATTGTTTTTGTTCTGTTGGTGATTGAGTTTGATCACGTAGTACCTATCATTCACAGGAACTTGCATGTTTCTGTAATGAATGTCTTAACCCATAGTTTGATAATAACACAAGGTATCAAACTCCGATTTTCATTGAGTACCCCCTCCCCAGAATCGCAGTTATTTAAACTTTCAGAGGAAATGCTCTGGCAAACTGTTAATTACGGAATAAAACCATTTTTTCTACGATAATATATCTAGAAAACCATGTATAGCATGCTTGTCTTTTAAGTAAAAAGCGTCAAAACTCTGGTCTCAATAAAGTGGTAAGTACTAATCTCTAGCGGAATATGTTCTTGGATTTAGACTGGCTAAAAATCTGATTCAAAAACTACATTTGGAAAATATCGTACTGCTTTTATGGAAATAAAGCGTAAAGAAATTTGATTTATTTACTGCAATATTTAAACATTGGAATTAAATTTTTAAACCAACTAATTTTTAAAGTTTGCTCTCTGTCTAAGAGAAGTACATACCACTTCATGGTGTGAGAGTTTTGGTGCTGTACTCTGAGATTAAAGACAATAAAGACAAGCTTGCTATATATGGTTTTGTAGATAAACTATCTTAGAAGAGAATGGCCATAAACAGTTTATTGAAAGTGTAAATGATTTCCATTCTGGGAAGAGGATGCAACACATAATTCGGAGTTGATACCTTTTATCATTATTACTATGGGTTATTTACTACAGAAACAAGTACCTGCGCTATCTTTAATGAATGTTAAGCATATTTCAGCGTTTTTATAGCACTTACCGAGTATAAGTATTCCAAATGTACCCATGGTTACCACTTAGATATATATTCTAAGTAATTTCTCTGTAGCATAAGTGGCTACAAGGTTTAATGTTTTATAAGAGTGCTTACATTAATTTAGTTTTGTAAATCTTTATTACGGCTCCGTTAAGATTCAACGTAGCTGAAAATATCAATTTTTCAAAATTTACCGGCTACAACCATGACACAATACAACCAAATGTTGTTTGATATATATTTTGGTGTGGAGATATAACAGTGAGCAAGTTTCATCGAATTTGGTGACCTTGCGTGCCAAAAACGTTTAAGTGGTTACAGAATATTTCTCTTAATGCTTTGAGGTCTGCTGGATTCATGTTTATTTATAAAATATATCTCTTTTAAAAATATTACATCTGCAATATTATTACCAAATGTCAAGTAACCGTTAATCAAGTAAATAAATGTATCTGTCCAGGAAAAAAATTTCAGTAAAGTGAATGGAATTCTTGACTTATGCTATAAAGTTATAGAGTATTAAAAATCCGCTTAATAAATGAAGCATGAGCATGAGAAAACTAAGCTCAATTAGTAAGTTAACAAGAATTAAAAAATTAATCACATGTGAAGAAAATCATTGTATTATAACCTTACCACACCCTAGACTTAGATGTTGAAGATATGTAGCACTTGCTAAAGGGTAATAAAATTCATAAGATAAAAATTCAGGATTATAAAGATAGAGGTTCAATACTGATGGATTACACAGATTTCATTTCTGCTTTCAAATCAAGCTGGGTCAGAAAGCTTATTTACTCAGTTGCAAATTGGGTAAAACTGCTTATAGGCTGAACTTAAAAACAAACAAACAAAAACAGACAGACAGACAAACATTAAAAAACTTTAAATATGGGGCTCTTATCTCTGATCACATTTTAAATTTGTGTAAAAGATTGCTAAAAAATTTTTAAAAAAGAGTCCTGCTTAATTAAATAATACTTATTAATGTAATCCAAGAAAATGACAGATTTGTGTCTTTAATTTGAACACATATGGAAACAACCGCACATGACGATAAAATAAGAATCATTATTCTTGAAAAAGCTACTTTGATGAAGGCTTTGATATTAAAATGATCTCATCAACATTGATGATAATTTCTTAAGCCTTGATAAAAAATAAAGGGAAAAAACTTTTGGTAATATACCTAGGGAAATGTATTAAAAAGGCTGGAAATACAAGCATCAAAGAATTATAAAAAAATTTAAAGCCGATTCGACCAATTATTCCAAATACCATTTATGCATATTATACAAATAATAACAGTTGTAATCATTTTTTTGTATAAGTTCAAAGAAGGATTCAATCAATTCTCTTTCAATGAATGAGGGAAACGTTCATTTTTTCTTCAGGGAGGCGGATAGGATTAAAGTATTTGATCTCCTCTTTAAAATAAGTCAGTAACTAAAATTTCCTATGGTATAATTTCAAATACTAGACAAATAAATATCGACTTAATACTCTTTTTTTAGGAAGTGAAATGTGAATCAAGCTTTATACCCATTCTATATAATAATAGTAAATGTTATCCGTTGTTCATTTTGTACCTTAAGATGCTCATGTAAGTAGATGAATCGTTTTCAGATAATTTCACTTTCATTTTTAAAAGTGCAATGTTACAAATATTTTCTTGCGTATAGAACTAAGATATTCAAATAGGAAACTCTATTGTTAAATACAACATATTTTTTTCATTTAAGGTGTCAATGATTGTTTTTGTGAAAGAAAGTAAACCAGGGTCTTTTGCCACAAACGTCCATTTGAGTAGTTTACACCGAAATTACTAAATATTTCTTAGTGGTATATTCCTTCTAGTTTCCCCCTCAAAATTCGGACTGTAGAATGAATATTGTGATAACAGTAACTTTTAAATGCCTTTTGAATATTTATGAAAACTTTAAATTTTGTGTAATTAAAATTTGGGTGGAAGTAAGTTGATTTTACTCATTTGTAAAATTATGATTGTTTGTTTGTTGTTTAACGTCCCTCTAGAGAATTTTTCACTCATATGAAGACATCACCATTTGCCGGTGGAGGGCTTCAAATTTTTATCTATACTCGGCACTCAGGGCCATTGAGCAGTGAGGGATCTTTTTCGTACCAGCACCTACTGCGACACGAGACCTCGGTTTACACAGTCTCATCCGAAGGACCGGTCTCCACGTCCCGCAGTGGGATTCGAACCCCCGACGTAAGGATCAACTCCGTACAATGCGACTCTAGAGCAAACGCTCTAATCACTGCGCCACGCGGGCGACTGCAAAATTATGAATAATACTGCAGAAGACTCAACACTCTCTTTATTGCGCTAAAGCCATATTTCCTCACATTTTCCTTCTTATCATCATTCTTGCCGTTTTCAAAGCCTTGTTGGCTTTTGTGAACTGGAACCAGTTCATGTATTGGGCTCCAGATTTCTCTGTTTTCGAAAAGATTCCATTGAGGTTGGAATGCAGACAACTTTTGTACCACCAGGCTCCGCTCCAAGATTTCGCACAATGAGAGTCAGACTCATCATTGTCAACATCTTTAGTGCTGAAATATGCTCCGTTGTGATATTTCAAACCGTCCCCTGTAATGAAAGGGAATAAAATAATGTACATACATCAGAAAAATTACGTTTCGTTCTCAGAGGTGTAGATTGAAATGAAGGTATAGTGCTCAAATAATGTAATCCAATAATAATTTAAATTTTGAATTTGACATACAAATTCAATCTGGTTTCAATGTCAGGAAAAGCATGAAAGACATGAAGAAATACCTATTCCCACTTCTAATAAGTATTATTATTGTGTACAGAAATAGAAGTACCGATATTTCCAATGTACCCTTCTACCGAAAGCTTGTACTTTTTAGCCTCGCTTCCAACGACGAAGTTGTAAAATTTACCATGACCACGATCTCCTGAGAACTTCTGAAGATCCACTCGGAGAACCTGGTTACCGTGCTGGGTCAGAGCATGGAGATTATCATTTCCTTAAGAAGAACGCCTTTTATCTGAACAAGTTTCAGCTAACCACTACACAAAATACACTAAAACTATAAAATATACTTTTCTCTAAAGCAATTCTATTGCAATGATTGAGAATTTCCATAATTTTTCCATCCCACCTTCTATTTTTCACTAATTCTGGTCAAATTTATTCTGGCTCTGAAAACAAAAAACTCAGCAACTTCTGAATAATTGTTTATAAGCTTAACCATTGTTACTGTACTGTCCTCTAGAACAATGTTTTTAAGGCTTCTATTATATATTGATTCATTGTTTCTGAAAAAGTTCAAAAAGACAAAAACCCGAACTTTAGGCAGAAAACAGACAAAATATGACCAGAAAAGACCTTATGGTTTTTGTCTAAACTTCTCTTTTAAAATAGCCAACTGTTCTAAATTTCTATTTATGTCACATTTTTCAAAGTGTATCACCAATCTTATCAATTATATGATATAATAAGGACTCAATGCGTTTTAAAGTTGAATTTAAAAAAAAATGACTTAACTCTGTGTGTGAACATGTAACATGTTGAATAGTATGATCTCTATTCGTAATAGATTTCATTACTTTGAAATAGTTACACGTAGTTCAATTGATAAATTGAAACTCTTTTAGAAAGAACACGAGAGAGAGAGAGAGAGAGAGAGAGAGAGAGAGAGTTACCTATCCAATATTCTTTAGATGGATTACCAAAACCAGCTTTGTAGTCATTCCATTTCCGGTCAAAGGTAGTGTTTCCGTCATAACGATTTTGGATAACCTAAAATTGCATATGTTGATCAGGTTAGTTGTCCTATTTTGTTTTAGAGTTTGGGATTTGGGTGAGGAATAAAATATATCAAACCCATTTTACCTTATTAAATATAATGAATTTCTCACCTAAGACACAATTGGTTGAACACCACAAGACGGAAAAATATCTTCATATGATAATGATGTATTGATGATGATTACATAAAAAAATATCTTTTGACTAATAACTACCTCTTTGATTACTAATAAGTATTAATTAAGATAATCAGGTTACCGTCCATCCCCCTCCCTCGGTGACCATGTCACAGTAAGCTTTGGTTGATGATCTGAGGTCAGGGTAAATCGTGTATACACCACTTTTCAACTTTGTTTTCGAGAATTTCAAAATGATGGAGCAATCTCTTGGTCTATAAATATCTGGGTAATAAAATGAATATTTGTTAATTGAGGATGCAATGAATTTAATTCAGTGGAGCAATATCGATTGTCGGAGACATCTAGAAAGTTAGATAAAGGTTTGGTAGAAAGGGATTAATATTTGTTTAAATGATAAAACCATAGCCAGCTGTTTATAGGAAAGAGGAATAGAAACATATATAGGAGAATAAATCAAAACTGGTGAGTAGTAAATATTTCTACGATTTTCATACCAAAATTAGGCATATCATAAATTGATCAATTACATATGAAAAAAACCGAGCATTAAAAGAGTTTTTAGGATATTTTATTTATTTATTTATTTTTAAAATACTGGACTTTGACATGAATGGATTTTTCCATGAATTCTGTGATATCTAGGAAGAACTTTTTTGATATAAATTAGTTTAGTTACTTTTTACAGGGTTGTTTTCGCCTAGTTTATCTCACCCATCAACAACCTTTTACACTTATAAACTCCCCCCACCCCTTAAATTCACCCAGAATTTCAAAGAAAGATAACTGTCTCCATTGATTTCACCCCGTTTCGAATTCGCTCACTGACGTCGAGATCGAAAATTTCCCTTTATGCAGTAGTTTCAATACTTGAATAGACAAGTCCTTTGTTTAGGATATACTGCTTGTGAACATCTAGAATGACAGGTCCGCTTATGGAGGCCTGTGCCTTAACTTGCTTCCAGTCGGTATTCTTCAAGTAATCACCAACTTTTCCTGAAATATTTCATTGAAAAACTCGACAATTATAAGACTCTGTTTTTTGTTTTGTTTTTATTATTACCTAATATTTATTCATGTGTAAATAGAATAAGTACTTCTAGAATGAGTACTTATACGTAAAATAATGTTTGATATCATTGATAACTTGTTGCTTAATCATTCTGAATCATTGTATATATACATTTACATACTTTATTGTAATTAGTGATCATTGTGATTTTAAAAAGTCTTGCCTTTAAATAAGTTCAATAAATATAAAAATACCCTTTAGAAAGTCTATCCCACAGGTTCTCATAATGAACAATTCACAGAAATTGCTATAAATTTATCAAATAAAAGTGTTTTCTTTCAGCTTATGTATATCAGAACTGTAAAAAATAAACATATCATATAGAAAAAATACCAGACTCCCTCAATAAGGGTAAAGAAATGACATTTCTGCTTATGAATTTATATAATTGCTCATTTCTTAAGACAAAATATTAGAAGATATCTCTACATATTCGAAAACAATGCATGTTTTATTCAGGTATTTAATAAGACGATTACTTCTTTCATAATATAGAAAAACTCTGTGTTCTCCAGCCCCGACAACAGGAAATAAAAATCTGTCGGTTTACTTCAATTTTATCTAGATCGTGAACCAGGGACTTGCTTTTGTCAACATGATTTTTATTATACTGTAAACCAACTAGAATTCGCGTCAACTTTTATTCGCGACTCATCAGTTTGAAATCAAACATTCTCTACAAATACAAACCAAAATAAATGGTTCGCGGCGATTAATATTCGCGAGTTAAAGTAGGTCGTGAAACTCGCGAATATTTCTTGCACGCAAATTAAAATTTGTTTTACAGTATGTTTTTTCTTACAGTCCCCTTAAAGGCTTTGATTATAAATATTGCTATCTTATGCATCTCCAAATTAAAATAAAACAACAAAGGTTAAAACTTTTCTTAAAATTGCAGTATTCTTACCTTTTATGTAAACGTGTGGCTGTCTAGCAGTTGCAGAATTTAAAACGAATAACGAATGTAGAACCATTAATAACAAAACCATTACGTCTGTATTCTTCTAGAATTAAAGGTTGAATTCAATTCAAACAATACTTGTTCAATGACAAATTTCTCAATAATCAACATTTTTGATTCATAGAAACGTGTATTACCTTCTGAAAGCAAAGTAGCAAATGGCTAAACTCTTCTAAAAAATACTGCAATATGTTTTCATTATTAAAACAATTAAACAAGATTTACGGGTCGTTAATACTTATAAAAGCTTACATTTTAAATCATATGGACATCAATTATACAAATTGTATTGGTTTACACATAAAACACCATGTTTTTCTTATCCAGTCTGATTTTCCAGCAAACAAGTACTGTAACATATTGCGATAAGAAGAAAGGTGCTTCATTTCATACAATTTATACCAGAAAGAGAAACTAGTAATTTCACTGTTCGTATATATTAATTTGTTGAAGAAAGCCCCTAACATTTTTTTTTACATAGGACACGTAAAATTTGTAGAATCAATGTTTCTGATTAAAGTTTGTATCAAATGATTCTTACAGAACAGTAAGGTATCGTTTTCCTTTGTGTTTTTTGTCTTTTGTCCATTTGTACATCTGTTTTCCAAAAAAAAAAAAAACTCCGAACCTGTAATTTAACTTAATTTATGTAGTTGAATTTTGAGAGGTAGGACTTTGATAAGTAGTATACAAATATTACATGATCTTGACCACAAGACACTGTACTATGATATACATTTTACCATACAAACTGAAAATTAATGCGTTCCGTAAGATATATAAAAATAAATCGGAATAGGTATACCGCAAAGTTGTGGGCTGACATGAATAAAGCAAAGTTATGAATCTAACCGATTGTTAAATTAAACATATATCAAGAAATGATTATCTTATAATGATAACTTACGCTTGAGGAATCCTACTTCTATTTAACTGTCAAATTTTATGATAAATACTATTCTTTCACAGTCTATCTGTGAATATTTTTGCATGGAATTCAATGCTTGTGTGCAAATAATAAAAATAAACTCACACTTTAATGATGATATATCAAGTGACACATTCATTCTTTGGAAGACTGTATTTTATTTATGAAGCATTAAATAAAGATAATTAACTATATTTATAAGCTTAGCAAAATATTGGCAAATCGTATATTATGATTCGTTTATAAGATATTTAGACGTTCATGCTCTCGTCATTTTTTTTATTATCTGCCAACACGTCAGATGTCAAAAGTAAAGTTATACAATTATCACAATCTTCCGCACATGTAACTGTACTTAGATAAACAAGTAACCAGCTATTAGATTCGGTGAAGTCTTTTTTTGCATTCGAAAATTATAATACACAGGTTTACAGAGTGATTCAAGAGCCATGACTGATTTTTACATAGAATATAGTACAAAATTGCCTTTCACATAAATGAAATCATCTATTGTCCATTTTTCTTTCGTTCTATTTCACTTATCTGGTAAACAAGAAAAGCTTCATATTAGACTTCCCTACTTTAATGTATTTCAATTCATTTTCTTGGGATATGATATACTTTGCAAACATTTGTGAAGAATATAAATTTTTCACACTGTTTTATAGCATAAATGAAATGTTGAGGAGATCACAAATGAATTTTTTTTTTTTATTGTGAAATGTTCAATTAACAAATTTATCATGTCCATTTGAATAAATACGTATTCGTTATTCAAAATAAAAACACTTTATTGATATATGATGGATTTCTGTTCAGAAAAAGCAGCGTAAGCGTCACATAGTATTTGTGAGTTCCTTGAGGTCAATAAATAAAATAGTATAAGATTAGTCAACTGACAATGATCTACTAACAAACATTGTGTTTCAATTTTGTGTGTATAATTCTTTCAATATCCATATTTGCTCTGCTCCCAAATTGTATTGTTTAAATGGGCTTTTGAAATTGATTACTATTCTTTATCTTCATATTTCATAAATGAAAACAACACAGCTGCTGCGTTAGATAACTTTAATTGTTCATTGTTAAAGAAAAAAAAAGGCTTTTGAAATAATTACATTGCAAATAAAGGTTTACTCTCAGTGAAAAAAAAACCAAACACATAACATTTAACATTTAAAAACAAGATTATCATTCAATATCAATTTAATAAATGAATTATTCAGTTTCTATTAGTTTTCATGCATCAAATTATATACCAGAAATACAATATTCTACACTGAGGTTTCAAACTGGCCTTCAAATTAATTCAAAGAGGCACTTATGATTTTATCATTTTTATTAAAACGGGGTATAGTGTGTAAAAGCTGGCAATAGTTTACAAAAGAAATATTAAATACGTAGTATTTTTGCAATGTTACATAAACTTAAGGTAATCTATGAGAGTAGTTTAAAAATACTGATATGTTCGATAGAACAAAGAACCATAAAACGCACAAAAACCGGTTTTCTGAATTATTTGATGACACTTGAAAGGAGAAATCGTTTCATTTAATTCATAATTTAATTGTGACCTTCTGATTCATCTGATGATAGATGAGGTATAGCGTAACGATGAATTACGTTTCATGTTTTACATGTAAGGAGAGTTAAAAACCATACAAGCGTGGTCAGAGAGTTGCACAACAGTGTTTCCATACATCGGCATATCGTTTGGCGCTGCATTTGTTGTTGCAAGCCATTAATCCATCGTTTAAAAGGTTAAATAATGGATCTGTTTTTATTGTAATAACACATTTAATGCTTACTTCTATCACTGAACAATGCCTTCGTGATTTTTATTTACCGAGAAGAAGACATCCAGGAAACACGTGCACAGATTTTTGTAGCAGTGTAAAGATAGGTAAGTGTGATTTCCCCCCGACCTTTCATTGATAGAATTTCCTGAAAAGTACGTTTTTTATTTTATTCTTTTTATACGAACTGATGTTTAAATAATTTATTTCAAAATTTGGAATTAATGCCCACTGTAAGCGATTTTAAACAAAATGCTGTGAAGCAGACGACAAACCTGTATGAATCAATAGGTATTTTAAGGATCACCGGTGTACATGTCCTCGGTCCTATAAGGTTAGAAGTTCACGTATAGTCAGTTTCTAATACGTTGGAAATATTTTTACCTTAGTCAGGGTCATTTAAAACTGGGGGAATCCGCATTATAATGGAAATTCCGCTTTATAAAAATAAATCTGGGAATTTAATAAAAATAGAAAAATCTAATGAAATAAACTCAAAACATACAAGTATTTTAGGGCTTTTTAATAACGTTTTTGTATTTTACAGCTGTTTTGTAAAGAAAATGGATCAATTATTCTTTTTGCTTATTGTCACGAGTATAGCAGTTTTTGTCAAAGCCAGTTTAGAAACAAATATGAACATAACATGTAAGTACAAGCAAAGTCACAACTCTCATTTTATTAATAAAGAATTTATTCTGTACAATGGAAAATTATTTGATCGAGTTTTTATTTGTGTTAAGATAGAAAACATTTTTAATTTCATCATTTTTCATTTCATTATCTGGTTCAAAATATTATAGATTGATATTTATGATGAAAACTAAGCAGAATATTTTGATCTCAAACCTTAAAAAAATGTCTAATTTTGATTATTTCAGATGTTTTCCCTGATAACACGTGTTATTTGTCATCGAAACCAAGACATATCAACACTTCTCTATTATTCATTTTCGAGTACGAAGGGAAGCAAATCCCTAATGATTGCCGAGAGGTGGCGCTTCACAATGCAGACGAAACTTTGGATATGTTTAAGTTTTGCATTACTCCTGTTTCTTTCATCGACCCAAACTGCAGCATTACTGTTGAATTTAAATACAATGAACGGGGCATCGAAAATATCATAGTAAGATCCCTCGTTTTTACTGTTCAATAATGGAATTTTTGGGCCAAATGACGTTTAAAATGAGTAACAAGCGTTATTTTGATGAATAGATATTAGTTACAATTATCATTTCAAACATAATGTTTAGTTATCATTGAAGGAATCTAATCATTTATTATTATGAAGGACTGAAGTAAAATTTGATCATTGAATTAACAATATCCTTTCCAGATCTTCAACTGCAATACAACAGCAAATGATACGTTTTGTACAAGTGAAGAAACGGAACTTGGCATCAATATAAAACCAGTAACTGGGTTTAAAAATGCCAATTTCACATTCATTATTCAAAATATAGCATCTACAAAATGTAAGTTAGTTTTCCATTTTAAAAAAAATTTCAAATATTTATATAAATTCTTGATTTTGCTTTACCATCGCTATCAGCAATAAAGTAAGAAATAAACATTTAATGATGTCAAAGGATTATATTTCATAATGAAATAGATTTCTTTTTTGTTTTGCAGTTTCATATCAAGGTAACAAATTATTATTAATAAACGAATTTCATTGTAATAAAGTACTAAAAAGATAATTATAAAAAATATTCATGGATACATATGTACATTTAAAAAAGATATAATTTTAAAACATTTATATGGATATAAATATGGGATGATCACGTGATGAAATCTCTACGAGGGTTGTTCGATAAATTCGTAGACGATCGCGATATATTTAGATTGCGTAATAGTACCCTTTCAATATTCTATCAATGAAATCGTTAGGAAAACTGTAAACAATATTTACAATATGAATAAAATGATTGAGATAAAAACTAAATAAAATATCATTTAATTCTATGTTATGACTCCTAGCGGCGCAGTACGTAAAATGTACTACAGTAACTTTAAAATTTAAATACTCAAATTGATAAGGCAATAGATTTTTTATTATGACACTAAATATATTGCCACTCAGGTATTATCTTCAATGACGAAGTGATGTCATATAGTCAAATTTTGATGTCGTTCGGATGCCTGTTTATAAAGAAACAGGTGATTCTAAAAGCCTTATCAAAATGACTAAACGGAATATTGACAATCAATACAATGTCGGGAACAACGGGCTGCTATCAAAATCTGTTTCTAGCTAGGGATGACAATACAAGAACCTATCCAGATGATGGACATGGCTGGGGACGCCTATCATGTTTTCCTGGCGGTAGCTTACAAGTGGCATAAACGATTTAGGGAAGGAAGAGAATCCGTAGAAGATGATGAAAGACCTCAGGAAATTGACGCTACCGTATTGGCGTCATACGCGAAGCAGTAAATGATGAAAGAACAAGCATTCTGAGAGTATTGCATTAGCAATACTAGTCCCCTACCGGCAAGTGTAATCTGGTTCCGTTCCCGTTAAAAATTGAAAATGCCATAATTCCGTCAAAAATTAATGAAGCGGGACGAAATGCAAACTTGATCTATAACTAATCAAGTTAAAGCCACATACCAAAAATCAGCTCAATATCTACAAGCGTTTAGAAGAAAATTGCGGAAAACCCGTAAAAATTGAAAAGGCCGTAATTCCGTCAAAAATCAATGAAGCGGAACGAAATGCAAACTTGATCTGTAACTCATCAAGATACACTTACATACCAAAAATCAGCTCAATATCTGCAAGCGTTTAGGAAAAAAGTGCGGAAAACCAAGTGGGACAGACTGACAGACAGACAGAGGGACAGACAGACAGACAGACGGACAGACAGACAGACAGACGGACGGACAGACGGACGGACAGACTCAGAGGAAACCTATAGTCCCCTCCGGTTTCACCGGTAGGGGACTAATAACAATAAAAGACTTACAGTTAGTAAATTGCTCAATTTTAGCTGTACATACAATTGATTTTTACAAGAAAACATCAACATGGAAAGAGTATGCGCTATTAAAACTCGGGATAAAAGCAGGTTTTACTACATATACCAAGAATAAGTTTAAAACATCCTAAATGTATTTACCTAGAAGGTGTGTACTTTGAAAAAGAGTAAAAAATAATTGACGTCAACTTGGACGTTATTGAAAGTGATTTTACTGCGCCGCTTATCGATGCTATGCGTTTCTATATTTGGTGATGTATTTCTTTAATTTTTGCATTTTTTTTGAATTTTATCTTACCTAATATATTGACATTAAATATAAATATCTGTACCTAAAGACTGTAAAATAGAAAAAATTGTCTACGAATTTATCGCACAACCCTCGTATATCCCGATAAATGTTTAATGATGATACCCTGTTACTTAAGTGACTGCTTTCCAACAAACTTTTGCGTATTATGATTTAAATCTATGAAATGATCAACAGTTTAAATTGAATGTGTTGAACTAGTCGACTACTTATGACGCCACTGTGAAATAATGATCAATCCTCTATGTCATAACATTTCATTTGTAGTGATGTGACGTTCTTATATTCATACAGTGATAGATACGGATTGCTCATCATATAGCGTAATATAAAATAAAACCTTTGCAAATTTATATATCAGTACAAAAATTTACAAAATTTTTCTTCTTATCATATGTGATATACACAGGAAATGAATGGAAATCTAAAAAGAAATATATTATAGGGTTATTGAACTTATATTGGTGAATATTGGCACGAACCGGCAATTTAAGTACACGAGCTTGCGAATGCATTTGTACAGCCAACGAGTGCCAATATCCACCAATGTAAGTTCAATAACTCCTTTACTCTATAGTGAAAACTATAACTCAATAAATCCTTTATTATATAGTGAAAACATCTCCCATTGATGTAGGTTAATTATTTCAATTAAATGACTCCAATTAATAAGAATTTCTCAGTTTCGGTATTTGAATTAACGTCAGTCCTTTAAGTGTCATCATTCCAATGACCCTACCAAGCGTTGTGATTTAGAATGTTTCAGGAATGCCCATTTACGTAAGATAAATTCAGCGTTCAATAAAAAGCCAAGTTACTGAAAAAAAATCTCTAGAGTTTTATGAGTTTTTTTTTATTATAAACTATTCATTATGTGTATGATAATTTGTATTATAAGAGCAGTAAGGACAGTACATATAAATGGCTGATACTTGCACTTTTTTCGTTCAATGAATCCTTTAAAATCATCTTGATAACAAAAAAACCAAATCACAGCCACGCAGAGCATCCTATAGCGATAGTAATCTTCGCCCAAGCCGGACACGTTTACTTTTAAAAAATTACTTAACTGCATCGAGTTTTATGTATTTTGGATAGGATGGAGATATGCATTTATAAAGTAGCATACAATTTACAAGAATACTAAAATCAGAGCAATATCATTCCAATTTGCTCAGTTTTTAATTATTCTTTATTATTTACATGTAACTTGAACAACTGAGTTGTAATTAACCTACATGTATATCCGAGAAATAATTTACCTTTAATATTGAAAATTAATATGATTCAACCTATTACAATGCGAAAGAAATATGCAAAATCTGCTGCTCCTTTGTAGGAGGGTGCTCCTCTGGTCTTGCCCATAAGCTTGTACACTAACACACCCACAGACAATGTCACACATACGCACATTGGTGATGTTATATCCCTTTCGCAACGTAGGAAAATGAACGATTCATCCCAATTCATAATATAAAAATAACACGTATAATACTAAGATTTTGCTTTTAATCTACGTACAATACTTATAGATTAATGATTTGTGTATTATAGGGATTTTTATTGCTATTTTGCAGCTGTTACAGACGTTGGAATGTTTGCTGGGATCGTTGTCGGTTGTATCATTGCTTTTCTTATCGTTGTCGTTGCATGCTATGTTTATATTAGAGGAAGAAATTCAAATGGTCCTTATCACCAAGCCAAATCATAGACATTACTATACATCGAATAATACGTGTATACATAAAAGACTCACCAGTAGCAATTGCTGTTCTGTGGCGGTGTCACGTTCCCTGAATGAACAACCATCGAAGATACTCGCTTCAAAAATGTACACCTTTTTATTATATTTTTTTCAAATTTGTAGAATTGTTTACATTTGTGAAATAGTAGCGTATGTTATTGCGGAGCAATTTGTTTTGTCAGATGACATTTATTTTCTTGCCAATTTGATTACATGTAGAAATTTGAAGAATAAATAGTTCTAATGACTTTATTATCCAAATTCAAATAGTATATACTATAAACACTGAAGAAATTGTAAACATACATGTTTTGCAATGAATGTGCATATACCTTTAAAAAATATTTTAAAATCTTGCCTTAAGAAGTTTGGCCATTTTAGGTACAGCTGAAGTTCCTTGTACTGCGGCTGTATACTAGACAGTATAATGTCTTTAAATATTAAAAACATTATAGTGAATCTCCCTAAATCACTTAAGTACACGCAGTAAACTACACGAAAAGAAGTCAGTGGTACTCAGCTGTAGTGAGGAAATTGAAATAAAGATACTATTCATTGTCAGTGAACATTATATATTGAACAATAAAAAGGCTTGAAAACCGACAATAGCTTTATAACAGTTTTCCCTTCACATAAACCTTTGAAAATGAGTTTATTTCTCCGCTTTGTAAATAATAATGGCCCGGCAAGAATTTGTGGGTTCCCTATCGTTATCACTGTTCTGTCTTTCTGTCTGTCTGTCAGTCTGTCTGTCCGTTCTGTTTGTTCTTTATAACTTTGGAGTGTTGAACATTAAGAATAGGTTATTGTGACCTTTATTTAAAATGATATGGCTAAATATGGAAAAATTCTGTCCGACCCATTACTGGAAAACTATATATTAGAGTAATCAAACTAGGTCAATTGTTTCATCTTAGACAAAAGGTGTGTCGCATCCTACTTAAAGTTCACTGGGACCTTTAATTAAGGTAAAATTAAAAAAAAAAAAATGTTTTTAAGTTACACAATGAGAACTGAGGGTATTGCAGTAACCATATTAAAAAATGTCAAATCAAGAAAATACACGTTTTCATTATTTACTGTACAGCAATATAATTTATAACAAAACTAATTTTCTTTTGTGTCAATAACAAGAGAAATTCCACTTGTCCAATGGATGTAATCATCAAACAGTGGTGTTTAAAGGAACATTTTGATAAGAGACGGATTTCAGTCTATCAAATTAGAAATTAATGAGTTTAGTGCAAGAATATTTATGAAAGAAGAAGATCATCACTGATCATAATCTCTTTGGAATTTGGCAGAAGAATCTAGCCTCTTATTATCAACTGATAACATATGTCAATTGAATAGTTCTTATTGGGTAGCCACTATTTTTACTTTCAAAATTAATTTGACATAAAGTTTTAAAATTGATTTGATATTGTATAATATAATATTTTTATTTTAATTATTATATCTCGACAACAAATTGCAGAGTGTAATCTCTCACAAAGTTGACAGTTTCACTGTCTAAAAATAAACATAATGATTAGTACATGTATGTTTATGTTTCATCAGACTGTAACATTGTTCATAATTCATAAAAACGTACAATAAACAAAGCTGCAGATGAACATTTATAAAACTCTAACACAATCAGTTGAGAAATATATGATGTATTAATTGTTTTGATCGTTTGTTTGTTTGTTTAACCGACCTTTCAAGAATTTTTCACCACCTCATGCCGATGGAGGGCTGCAATTTTTAGACCTAAACTTGGCACTCAGGGCCATTGAGCAACGAGGGATCTTTTTCATGCCAGCAACTACTGTCACACGGGACCTCGGTTTATACTGTCTCATTCGAAGAATCGGTCTCCACGTTCCGCAGTGGGATTCGAACCCGCGAAGTAATATCAACTCCTTACTCCTCGACTCTAAGGCAAACTCTTTAAATACTGCGCCATTGTACTATTTGTACATCAAAAATTAGGAATAGAAGTTCATTTAAATCTTTGTTCTTATGTGGATGACACGATTTTCTTCTTTGCACTCTAATCTGCTTGTGATAATTGAACAATATTTGACGGGCGTAGCCCTGCAATTTATTAGTTTGAAGTTAAAGTCAGGCCTAGGAGATGTTTGAGCTCACTTGTATTTCATAAAATGCCCACATCCCTCTAGTTGAAATATATTTTTAAAATGCAATTTATAAATGATATATCTTGGCATGTATTTAGTAGAAATGTAAAGAAAAATGTAAGAAACTATTATTTATACTGGGAATTACAAAAGGCAAAGATATGTTAAAAAGTACATAACTCCTCAAAAGTGAACAGATTTATAGAAATATGGCCAATGTATACCCGGTATTATCTAGATACTCAGATTTGTACTAGTTAAATATAAATATGCCATGTACATATTGTACTGTCAACGCATTTGGCACACCTTACAACCGACTTTGTAATATGTCCCTGGAAAATGTGCATTTGGCATTAACATTTTCTCACTGACAGATTTCAGGGTTGAATTGGCAAATGAAATCAGGTTTGATTTTGTGGCAGAATTTCTTTCTTTCTGTAAGTCCATATGTTTTTTTTTTTTTAAAACGACTCCATTTTAAGAGTTAATTTAATCTTAAATATCCTAAATAGTTACACAGGTTAATTTGTATTTGCAATAAAATAACATAAATTGTCGGCCTTATCTGAACAAATTCTGATGATACTAATTAATTCTGTTATATTCACATGGTATTTTTTTAATTAAAAAGAACACAAGCACCATATTAATCTGCACATGCTAAATGGTGATGCGAATGATTTTCTGAGCTGATTTGATAAAATTAAGAGAACATAAAAAATGGAAGGAATTTTATGGAGCAATACTAAAGGCATTCAGGGAACACATTTTCCTTTAGGAAACTATCTTAAGCCATATCCTAAGAAAGTATATGTACATATGTTATTGTCTGTTTTGTTGTTTCTGGGTTTATCCCATGACTCCTTTCATATTATTGTAACACAAAATATAAACAGAAGTTGTATCATCCAAAAGAATAGTCTCACCTTGAACATCTCTTTCATTCAAAGATAAGGTCTTGAAGTTAAGGCTTGTGAATGTCTTCGTAGATTGATTTTATGTCTGTCTGGTTTAAAACCTTTTTCCACCCAAAAGATAGCATTGTATACCCAGTTCAAGTAATATCTAGCATGTGAGTTAAATCCTTTTTATTTTGCAGGGCAGCTTGACCAATTACCTTTGAAAATGAGCCCTTCTTTGTCAAAAAACTGTAGTCCTGCTATATCTATTGATTAGTAACATTAAACTAAATGTATAACAGAGAGAAAGATTTACGAACTTATAAATGCCTTAGACATTAAAGAAAGAATGAATTACCTTGATGTGTGCATAGATATCTTCGGATTATTTTATATAGGTATTAGCGCATTGTGTCCTTTCATATTAATAGTAATGATATAATATCAAAAATATTAACTTTGTATTACACATGTAAAGAAGTTCAGTATGAGGCAACACTAAGCAAAATTAAAATCACATCAGATCCGTTCATCCACTCTCTGGGTGCCAATTTTTTTTTATACCAAAGTCTTAATTTAAAGGGCACATTACATACAAAGGGAAAAGGCACTTAACCGATACGATCTGATTATTTTATCAAGTGTATGTAAAGGATGGGTACTTGTTTGCTCATGTCCCCGATCACAACAAGACAAAACGAAAGTTGTGAATGAGGGAAGTAAAACGTTCCTTCAGTTTTAGATTATGTCTGAAATTTCGGCTACAAATTGGCTTGTCATTGCAGCAATAGATTTTGGAACTACGTATAGTGGTTATGCTTTTTCCTTTCGTGATACTGCGCGGGACTTTCACACTTCGCAGAACTGGTATTCTGGAACGTCAAATCTTCTGTCACAGAAAACTCCCACATGTATTTTATTGAACCCTGATGAAACATTCCATTCTTTTGGATACGAGGCACAGGATGCTTATACAACACTGGCATCAGATGAGCAACATATGGATTATTTTTATTTCTATAATTTTAAAATGGATCTTTATTATACCAAGGTTTGTAAAATTAAAGGTCAGTCTATTTTTGCCTATCAGTATATGGTACATGTAAACTGTGTAAAGAATGTACAAAGAGGCACTGGCTCAAACATTAGTTGGAGTAATCTCTTTATTTTTTCTTTACTTTCAACATTTAAACGAAAAGAATAATAGGAAAAATACGTCCTTTTAACTTTTTTGTGATCCTAAAGAATATTAGAATAAAGAAACAAATAGACAAGTACTGCCTGTAATCATATTATCTTTTTATAATATACCATATTCTTTACACACTGAAAAAAATTGATGTAAGAGGAAGAAAGAGTTTCCTTTCTGTTCCAGAATTTGAACAGGAAAACTATGTTAAACGACATAAACGGAAAACAACTTACTGCAGTCAAAGTATTTGCTTTGTCGATCAAGTACTTGAAGGATCACTTTATGACCACTCTTTAAAAGAGCTTGCCTGACGCTTCAGAAAAGGATGTGAAATTTGTTCTAACTGTTCCCGCCATTTGGACGGACGCAGCCAAACTTTTTATGCGAGAAGCAGCAAAGGAGGTATGTAATTTGAGTAGATTTATAGACAGAAAATATCTATATCATTATCTAAAACTGTGTTTTTCTTAAAATTTATATTCCATTTTACTATTTCTTTCAGTTTTAATGCTGTAAAGTTTAAAAAAAATGCTATTAAGATTTTTGGCTAAAATGAGCCAAAGACTCAACTTGGGCACATTTCGGCTCAACTCATGTTTCTTCTTGAGCGAAGTTTGTTCTTTAGTTACGTTATATAGTTGTGTTATATCTGTTTGTTGTATGGCTATAAACTGTTTCCCATTCCCGTATACCCCACAGATGAATTAATGAAACTAGAGTAAGGTCATTTAAAATTTTCCTCTCTAGAACACCTAGTAAAAATATGAAAAAACGAATGCATTAATTTTTATTTTGCAAATCAAGATCTTCGTTTCAGGGTCGAGCCTCAGATTGGTTTGAAGATTTGCGTAAAAATGCATAGAAATAGAAAGAAAATGTTATGAAAATTATTCTCAACAACCTCAGACTAGAAATTGAAATAGAGCATAATGAAATGTAGATGCTCACTTAATTTAAGTAGTAAAGTTTACTCTTTTCCAAAGGCCATTAATCATGTACAATTTAAGTATCAGTAAATACAAAGAATGTTGAATTTGCTGGGTTTTTTTTTTTAATATACTCTAGGTTAGAAGAGGTTAAAATTCTTGAGTTTAGATTGAATTTGAGCCTAAATAAAGCTTGATTTTTTTGCCTTCATTTGCCAGTAAATGTAATGTTACTCAGGTAAGGATTTAAATTTTAGGCAGGCATTGCATCAGATCGTCTACTTCTTGCTCTTGAACCAGAGTGTGCATCAGTGTACTGCAAAGACATTGCTCCAGATAAACTGTCAAGTGGAAAATGTCTTAAAGTTAATGAAAGAAGAACGCAATATGTCGTAGCAGATATAGGAGGTAGGGTTTGTAATTAAGTGAAGCACCATTATTCTTTGCATTTTACTGTGCTAAATACATTTATTAGATGAGGTGGGAATGCATATTGATTAGCTTTCATTTGCCCTAGGTACAAAAAAAAAAAAAAGATTTCTTTTGTGATTTTTTATATATTACGATAAAAATTTGATTTAAAAATAATTTTATCATTATTTAATTTGAAATTAAAACGCTTTAATTTTGTTAAAACAACATGTTTGATAGGGAAAAAGTTGAAAAGCCTTGAACTGTGTTCAGAAAATCTTTTATGAAATGTGAATCTTTTTTTAAAAAAAAAAAAAACTTCTAAAAAGCACATTAAGGAAACTTTGACAATCTTACACTTTACAAGTAGAACATGATCAAATCATAGTTTTAAAGATTAACAAGACTCCATGAATGTTAGAAATCATATTGATTGTATGTTTGAATATAGGAGGAACAGCAGATTTTAGTGTCCATGAACTGGACATTGATGGATCCATCACAGAACTTCACAAAGCTAGCGGTGAAGCTTATGGAGGTACTTGTGTTGACAAGAAATACATTGAAATAATAGAATCCATTTACGGAGTTAAAATCGTTTGAGAGATTGGGGAGTCAAGAAATGGAAGATTATTTAGAATTTTTAAGAGATTTTGAGGTTAAAAAAAGAACGGTATCCAACAACTTAACGAAGAAATATAACATTCGTATTCCACTATCACTGAATGACTTTGCAAAAGAGTACAGAGTAGATTTACATAGAACAGAACGACTACCTATAAAAGGGGAAGTTGAAGTAATGCGAGATAAGATAAAAGTAAATGGACACTTTATGCTACAGCTTTTTGAAGATTCTATAAACGAAATAGCAAACCATCTCCAAAATTTGATGAAGGATTTTCCTGATATTTCCTGTATAATATTGGTAGGTGGATATTCAGAATGCAGTATCCTGCAAGAAAAGATAATATTGATGTTTTCAGACAAGAATATTATAATTCCTAATGAATGTGGTCTTGCAGTAGTAAAAGGAGCCGTCCTATATGGTCACAATCCATTCATCATTTCTTGCCGTGTGTTAAGATACACTTACGGTACAAATACAGACTTCAGATTCGAGAGTGGAAAACACGATGAAAAGAGAAAATACATAGATCAATACGGCATAGTTCGATGCCGTGGGACATTCGATCCCATTATTTCTGCTGGAAGTAAAGTGCTTGCAACTGGAAAGAGATGTACGTTAATTAGTGTGCCATTGGATAAGTACCAATCAACAATTGTTTCAGAAATTTACTTCTCGGAAAAAAGCGACGTACTTTATATCGATGAGGAGGATTGTAGATATTTAGGTAAAGTTGAAATTCCATTGCCTTTCCTTGGATTTAAACCCACTTTGGAAGAAGAATTTACATTTGGTATGACAGAATTAGTTTATACCGCAACAATCAAAGAAACACGACAAACTATGGTCAAACATTTCAATGCATTTGAGTTTACGTGATGTTGCTAGATGCTGAGGATATGTAAATTCTTCAATAAAACTCAAAATATCTAAACTTTGTTCGTTTTCAATACATGTGTACAAATCTATCTGATTTGTGTTGGTTTTCGTAAAATTATAAGCAGACTTTTTTCACTGTATTTTAATTAGTGTTTCAGGAAATCGGGATCAGAACGTTTCTGTTGCTCATCTTTGATCGCCGATTAATATACTTATTTTGAAGTGTACTAGTCGAGGCGAATTAATAATCAAATGTTGAATATCAAAGTAAAGACATCATAAAAGTTCCACTGACATCAGATCCAGGGGTAAAAAAAATCTTGACTATATGAGGTCGACTAATGTACTAGTTGACAGAACTAATGCCTCTGATTCTCGACTTAATAATTTTGACATTTGTACCACAAGGGCAAGGTTGCTTTAAGCTGAGACCTCCAAAAAAAATTTCCCAAAAAGCTCTCTAAAGGGACGAACAGTTTCTTTATGAGCAAAGCATTTAGGTATATCTAGACCAGAATAGTTGTCCTGCCATTAACATGGACATAAAATTCAACAATGTGACATATTTATTCACTTCTTTAATACTTTGGACATTAGAACAATTGAAAACTTGTTATTATATGCATTAGCTTATATCATTTTTTTTATTTTCGGATTTTTTGGTTTATAGAACAGCATTTTGCTCTTCCACATGTAAACTATTTAAGTATGATATATGTATTTGTATTAAATAATTACATGTTTAGTGCGTTATCAATTTTTTAAAAGCAAAGGTAACGGGAATATTGAAAACTCTTTATATTAGAAATTGACTTTTGAAATTGAGCTAAAGTTTTCTTTAAAATTAACTGTACAGGAGAATCAAGTAATTTTAAATTTGACTCGTATTCTTTAAGTGTTAACGATCTATGAGTAACAAATGATGGTTCCATTTGCATGTTCCTGATGATGAGCAAATAAATCATTGTTTTTCTAAATGTGTCAAATTTTAAAACTATCATAAATTCCTTTTAAATACATCAATAAGGTAAATTAAATATTTTAAGCAAATTATTTTAAAATAATTGATGAACTGAACTCAGAAAATCTGAGGCATATAATTAATTGATTTGTATCATAGCCTATAGTCAAAAACTTGGATTGCGGTATTTGTGCGATTGAGAATTATATGCTATACGCTGATTTGTACTGATATTTACATTTTTTGACATACCAAAGTTGTTTCACTAAATTCTTGCAATATCTTATATCGTTAATCGCGTGATATGATGATGACGCGATTAATATGTTGATGAAACTGATGCTCAGTTCCCATATATATAGACTTCAAAAATAATGAAGGATAAAAACAAAACAATGAATAATTGTCCTTTTATGAGCCACTCAGAACTACTTACGTACATTCGTGTAATACAAAAAAGTAATGTCGCATAAAAATGTCCTTTCCACGTCTAAGATAGGAGCTATAAATACTATTTGATGTGTAATAAAAAATAAGTACAACAAATAATCTGAAATCAAACCGACACACAAATATCCATGATGTGGTACAGTTCATGACAGTACTACGTACACATCAGTCTTACACTACAAAATCCAAGTTCGAAACGTTTCTTCCAATAAAGCAGTATTAAATTTACAATCCTGCAAACTAGTGATATGTATATTAGTATTTAATCATATGGACGGTGTTATTTTCAACTTTTCAGATGTAAAAAGGTAATGTTTTTGTCACATAATTATTTCCTTCGTAAGAAAGATGTCAAGCACCGGATGTACAACATGTGTTATAATGCCTACACAAGTAAGTAAATTACTGTTGTAATAGGGAAGACAATGGTGAAAAACTGACATGAAACATTGTAAATTCACTGCCCCTTGCTACAACTCTACAACACCTTACAAGACCGTCTAGTAGTATAACAACATTCGTTTACATGGCAACGTCAAAGTGTAATGTGTTTTGCAATAATAACATATTAAGTAAACGAACACAGTAGATCATTTCTAAAAAAAATTACAACTGGATGCTACTTTAAAGACCACTAATATTACTGTAATAAAATCTAAAATTCACAAGTCTGAGAATACTAGGCAATAATATTAAGCCCCCCCCCCCCCATGCATAACATTCTGATGAATACTTATATTACAATATCATTAATAAATACAAATATAGTGAAGTCTGTAGACAAATATTTCTGCTAAAAATAAATATTTGATTGAAATAAAAATCCTTGAACATCATACATTCTCATTATTACATCATCACATTTGAACATACGTACAATAAATTTCCAAAAAAAAAAAAAAAAAAAAAAAAGCAAACCGTTTGCTTGCCGCCATATGTTTACATCAGAAACACGTTAATCAGAATCTCGCACCCGGTTTTTAATCCACCCCCTGCTTGGAGACGGTGTATTTAAAAAAAAAATAATAAAATAAAAATAAAAAATAGGGCATTAGGGTGTCATGAGACCTGTTTGTAGCCAATCAATTTTCTTCAAATTTGTCTGAATCGGGATAGCATTAGTGTTATATTAATTGTTTTGTTTTATTTCTACATATTGGTACATGTATGACTAGTCTGAGGTAAATGTAACTAGACACCTCTGCTCTGCTAATTGCATACTTAACATAAATGTATGTTTTATTTAAGCCAAACTCAATTATTTTAAAAAGGTATAGATTCATCATTTTAATACATTCAGGGTTGGATCGATTGCGAAATATACTAATCACTACTGTTTCCCCAATATATTATTACTTGAGCAACTTAATCTCTTTCCCAAATGTGTTGGAACCGGTGTTTTGGAGCGAACCCCCCTCCCTTATAGTGAGGTTTGCCCGGAAGCCTCCTCCCTTCGAGTGAGCCTCTCCCATATAGGGTTATTTCTCACTCTAGAGCCATACTTCCCCCTCAGACCGATACTTCTTCCCAAAGGTTTCAAAAGATTGTAAGTACACAAGGGAGGAGTGCTCACTCTAGAGCCTTACTTCCCCCCACGTGGAAGTTAATTCCAGATCCATGTTTCCTTGAAGATGTCGTTTTTTAGAGTGACACCCCTGTCGGTTAATTCTAAATTTGTCAACTTATTGGATAGGAAAGGAGGATAGAAATTTTATGTTTTAAGTACTAGATTTAGTAGATTATACAAAAGAAGTGCTCAGGCTGTCTTATTAATTTCTGTTTTACATTATATTAGATACATGTACATGAGTATGATCTACATAACAAGGGATTGTATTTATATGTATTTATCATACAGTGTAGAGCATTTTTATTTTCTAGTGCTTTTAATGAGCTAACCTGATGCAGAGGCTCAGGTGAGCTTTTCTGATCAAAGAGGGTCCGTCTTCCGTCTGTCTGTCGTGTTTGTGCATAAATTTATCAGATTATCAACTACTGGAATCACTTTACAAATTTCAACTAAACTTGCAATTTTGACTGATGATTTAAAAATTACATTAAAAGAAAAGAAAACTTATCACAAGGAAATAACCCTGGTATTTTATCAAGATGTGGATTTTTAACTTATTTTTTTTCAACTCAAAATCAAAATGGGTCTACTTTTCGTCATTTGGAGTTCTGATATAAATTTTCATTGAAAATGTCAAAGGCAACTAAGGATATCCTCTGGAATCCATTTTCGCCATAATTGAATTCTGACCATGACATTAACTTTAAGCCTCTAAAAACAGGGGTGTTCTTTATACTTTGCCTATAGTCATTGAAAGTTCAGATGTAAAATTTCATTGAAAAAGCTCAAAAAGAAATTTTATCAACTGGAAGTCATTTCTTGCAAAGTATGAATTTCTCAGCTTGATCTTGGGACGTAAAATCAATTTTAGATTGAGTATAGGACAGAAGGTAGGAAAGTCCCAAATTATTATTATTATTATTAAATTATTATCATTTTCCTACAGTTTAGATTAGTCCACTATCCTTCCTTTCACCACTTTGTAAAAATAACTTCGACCAACAAGCATTCCTTTTTGATCGGATTCGGCTTCACTTTTGCGCACACATGACGCCCTGCACTACTTGGTTTACCATGCAATGACAGCTTCTTGTGAATCTTTCAGAGCACGTTCAGTTCTATGCATTTTGTTGCATTTATTTAAAGATGCAAACATTTATCATGTTACATGGTCTCGTTTTATGGTCGATACAAGGACCTTGTCAGTAAATACAACATATCATTAAGTCAAATGCTGACTGACATTTTTCATACTAATTGTTAGGTCATTATTTACACAATGAAATGTCTATGGATTTTTCGGTTTTTCCCGATCATGACAATGAGCACACGGCGGGTGTGACCGGTCGACAGGGAATACTTATTCCTCCATGGTACCTGATCCCACTTCTGATGTTTTTCGAGGTCTGTGTTTGCTCTGCTCCCGATTTGTATTAATTTAATGGACTTCGAGCTTGAGTACTATTCGTTATCTCCATATTTCATGGTGAATAAAACATATGTATTTCTTCATATGCGTAAGAATTTCATTCGGAAGTACACTTCCCCTTGGAGTAAAGGTTATTCTGTTCATTGTTGTTTCGGAAAGCAACAACAATATATACGTTACACTGAATTCAGAAAGCGCGGCTTATCTTATTCTGTCGATTTTTAGCATGGTGGCCTTTTGGCTTATTTACATTCATAGGAAGCTTCAAATATCACCAATTTCAAATTAGAAGTATTTTGAATGATAATCTAATGATGATATTTAAAAAAAATGTTTGATGCATCATATAACATCACTATACGATAACACTTTCTCCTAGATATAGAATGCATCGATTAATTTTGCACACGGCTCATAATTCGTTTGGCGTTTAGCGGAAAACGAAATGTTCCTGAACATAAAATGACTAGGTGTAGAACTGAACAAAATTACTTAAGTTTTGTTTTCCCCTTTTTTCTGTAAAAAAGTTTCTAGTTATAATTAATCAATCTGGAGAGATTTTTAGTTTAATGAAAAAATAGTAGAAAAATTTGAATATTGCTATTCTTTACAAATCATACTCAGTTTAGAAACAATGTGGGAAAA